GGAACAGAACTACCAGAAAGCCAATGTTATCAGACATTTTAAACAAAAAAAAGCATGTCATCTTGAAAGTGCTCTGGATCGCATTCTTGGCCCTTAAAATGTCTAGGGATCTACACTGAGCGGGCTGCAACAGAACAAAGACTGGTCTAGCCAGTCTTTTTACTTCTGTAATAATCCAGGAAAACTGTAACCATGTCTACTTATGCATTTATCACCAACAAACAATTCTGACAGAACTAAAATATAATCATTCCTCCCGCAGGCTAATGAGAGAATGGCTGGAGCTAAATGGTATCCCATAATAATTTTACGTGTATGAATTGTTCCATTTCATTTAGTTGTATTATAAAAGTGATGCATTGGCCATAACATTTACTGTTTACAATCTGCAGCAAGCTATACCCTTCTCAAGGGAGATTAAGTAATCAAGAAAATGTTATTCACACTATGTATTTGAGAAAAATAGATCTCTGTGCCAATTACAGACTCTTTCCTATACTAAGAAGGATGTATGCTAGCCTAGAAAGGAGATGGGAAAAAGTCAGGAGATTTGTTTGCTTCTCAAGTGAATAGGAAGTCATACAATCATGCATTGAAAAGGTTTTGCTTCAGCCCAGCAAAGCCTGAAGAGAAAAAAAAACAAGTGCTAGTTTTGAGTAGCTGCTGAAGACACTTCATTATAGCATATCTTAAAGCTCTGAAAAACCATACAGTGACTTACAGGACTACAAACAGAAAGATCCAGAAGTAGTCAGATTGCAATTTTGTTTCCAGAGTATCCATGAGAGGCAAATTTATTTTTTTTTTAATGATAGCATTTCTTTAAAATACTCGTTGTTAATATTGCTTATACACCATTTTCCACTGAAAGATCATAGTGATCGATACAGGCTGCAATGAATGAAGTGCAACATCTCCAGAAAACAGATGCTACATTATTCATTTCACAGATAAGTAAATGCAAGTATGAAAAATTAAGTGACTTGCCCTAGTCAGAGAGCCAAAAGCACAGCTGTGAATCTAATCCAGATACCCCAGATTCCAATGATCCATTAACCATTAGACATTAGCCTCTCAAACAAAATGTAACCTTTTCCTCACATTTTGCCCTCCTTCTAGCAGGTCTTGCAAAGCTAGTACAAGGGCTGTTCACATAGCTGACTTTTAAGAAGCCAAAATCTCAGAAACATAACAAAAATTAATAAAATACAAACTCAACTTTACTGCACAGATTACAGAACTCCCAAATCCACCACTGTAGGGCTCAGTTAGCCATCTCTGCCCTCCTAAGAGGAGGGTCAGCCATAGCTCTCAGATTTAAAGCTGCTGGCCAAGCACGAGCTTGGTAGGAGGTACCAGGGTCACACATCATCCCAGAACACCTGCTGCAGACCTGATTCACAGCAGGCACACTCAGGAGCTGCCAGTGCTGCATCCAAACAAGAGGAAGAAATGGATGGGATCATCAAGGAAACGTATACTGGCCCAACAGCTGTTTCTCCACATGTCCTGTCTCACACGCACAGATACCCTTCTGCCTTCTTCAAGACACTCAGCACAGGCATTGAATTGCAACAGTCTAGAGAGCCAAAGCTTGGCAAAATGTTGAAAACACTCATCCAAACTCTGGTTACACTAAAGGTTTTCAGTGTGGTGGCAATTATGTCCTATGCTGTCTCAGCTCAGAACTTATTCCATGAAGACAAGCATTGGTAGAGAACCCTCTGCTTTAAGAAACCCCTAATGGACTCAGGAAGGCTTCAAAAGCTAGCAAAGCCTTTAGGCAGGAAGGGAGGGTAGACAGAAAACCACTGATGACAAAATGCTACCAGTCAATGAAGGTTAAAAAAAATTGTTTAGACTTGACAGCAACCAATCAATTTGACTGTCACCACTTCTAACCTCCAAAATAAATGAGTAGAAACTTGAGAAACAGCACATGCAACTAATCAATTTTACAGCACATTTTTCAGTTGCTTCCACAAATACAAAAATATCCTTAAATATTGGAGTACTTCTCAGACATATATAGCATTTACTAGCTCAAAATCTCAAAGATTAGAGTTCCAGAACGTATCAATTACTCAAGTATTAAAAAAAAAATAAATCAGCAAATAAAATATTTTAGATACCCATGCTTTAAAGCATTTGTCTGAACACACAACAGGAAACCTTTGTTACTTTTTAAGAATGAGTGATGAGTCAGATTAAAAGTATTCAAAAAAAATCCTAGTATTGAAAAATCACAACCTGTTTCCTAAATTGCTATGATAGGTCAGGGCATAGATCTCAGACACAAAACTAAAATCACTCACATTTACATCAAAACATACAACACTTAAATTTCAGAAATAAATTATCAAGATTATTGAGAAAGAACATGGTCAGATTTCACCTTATTGCAATATTGCACCATAAAACAAGGTGAGCAAGGTACAATTTGTGCATTACTGTGGGTGTACTACAGCTTGTCAACAGGATATTAACTCTTCTTATAACACAAAGGTCAAGGCTATTGGAAACCATTCTGCAACAAAGCCCTTGGAAACACCAGTGAAACCAAATAAGATTCAGAATAAGGGCACAGGGTTTCAGTTTTATGTGAGTAAATAGTTCTTCTCTCCAGCACAACACATCAGTTTGGTAGTGTACTCTGAAACATATATGAATTTTAAAAATTAATGTCTTTAATCCTGCTGAGCCTCGGCATGACTATATTCCTACCAGTGTTCCACAAGCCACAGGCTTACAGAATTAAGCCTGAAGCAGCCCACTTAAAATAATAGAAAACCCCAACAAACCCTTACATCACCGCCCCACCACAAAATTCCCAACCATGCCCCAAAATACTGCTTTTAGATTTAATTCACAAACAAACCAGGAACTACCACACATGGAGCAGGCACTCTAAGGTTCCACTTTAGCACTGCAGGTCTCTGTGACACTTCTATGACTGCAGTGCAAACTTAAGAGCCCAAATACATTGAGCTTTGCTTCTCCTATTCCCTCCATTCCATCAACTATACAAAGACAGAAGAGCATTTTCTTCACATCCCTCCTCTTTATCATAATATCACAACCTTCAGTTATAAAAAGTTCAACAAAATCCCCTCCACCACCATTTTATAAAGTCACGTATTTTCCATTTTTATTAATAATTTAATTTGTTTCTTCCAGAAAAGTCCACTTAAGGCCAATGTCTAAATCTCCCTCCCTGAAAATCATGTTTCTTAAAAAAAAACTGTTTGTCCCTTGTACTCATTTTGTTCACTCAAGAGAACCAGATTTAGAAACAGAGAGCTTGAAAAACAAATCTTGGTTTTATACCATTACAACACTGTGGATTTGCCAAGGAGCTCTAGAGTTACAATTTCCGTTCCTTAAAAGAAAAGCTGAACATCCACTTTAAACAAATGCTCATTTTTGTCTTACACCTGTTAAAAAATACTGTGCACACTAAACTTGGATTCTATTAATGTTGCTCTAGCTGCAGTTATAGCAAACACAGGTCTAACAAACAAAAAACATCAAAACCCCCAAAACCATACAAAAACCACAACCAAAACACTCAAATCCACAAACAAAAGTCTTCAGAAAACTGCACTTTTATTTTTCCCTTTATTTTGGTAAGCGTCTGGAGTTTTACTGTATAAAAAACCCACTGCCAACCAGTTCTTGTTTTACAGTCAAAGAAAACCCTGCTCAACAATCCAAATTTCTGTTTATTGGCGGGAACGCAAGACTTCCATTAGTTTGCCTTAAGAATGAAAGAGTGGATGAACAGCTTAGCAACTCTAAAATTCTCAACAACACACAAAAACTCGCAGCTCCCAGCTGGCTATTCCCAAAAACTTGCTAACAAAATACACAGTTCCGAGCAGTGTCATTTCGAGCTTTTGAACCGAGTAGTCTCTCTGCCTTTTTTCCCTTGTTTTCCTTGCCATATAGCTCTTAGTTATAAAGAAAATACGTAACTGTTAAGGAGGCAGCCGCACTTTTCCGGGGAATTTTTCTTTTTTTTTTTTTTTTTCCTCCCCGCACGGGGGAAGCGCCGCACGTGGCGTCACAAGGAAGGAACTTCCCAACGACAGCGGATAACCGCAGGGAAAACCTGTTGCGGCAAGGAAACGAGGATCCCGGAGCGGAGGCGAAACCTCCCACCCCCGGGGCAGCCTTTCCCTGGGGACACGGCACGAAGGCCAAAACTTGCCAGGAGTTGTGCCAAGGCTGCCGAGGGCCGGGAGCGCCGCCGTGCCCCCGCAGCTCCCACCAGCGCTTACCGGGCGGTGTCGAGCAGCGGGTGCTTGGTGCCCACCAGCTTGCGGACCTGCATGGCGATGTTGCTGAGCTCGTCGCTCAGCAGGCACCGCAGGCTCATGAAGGACGTCGGGTACCCCACGATCTTCTCGGCCTCCGACACCACCTGGCTCCAGGGCGGGCCGCCCGAGGACAGGCATCGGATCCCGCCGGCGCAGCGGACCCCGCGCCGCAGCAGGGAACCCCACATGCCGCCTCCCAAGGGACGTTCCGCTCTCCCGCTACGAGCCCCGGCGGGGCCCCACACGCCGAGCAGTCGCGGACAAGTCCCGCTGCCGGAGGAACGCCCCGGCTGTGCCCCGGACGGCTCTGCCCGTGCCTCGCGTCCCCCCCAGCGGCGGCGGCGGCGGCCGGAG